AGAGATTAAATTACCAGAATCTCCCTCAACTTTCTCGTAATTCACAGTCTCAGATGGCCCGTAGGCCTTGCCAACTTTCTCTTCAGGCCGTTAGTCAGGCCCGTATAGGCCTTCAGTTCAGAAAAGACGGCCCATAGGCCTTTATTTTCTTCCAAAATTGTTTATTAATTTTTAAAATTATATCAATTTCATTTACCTAATACAATTTTATTAGTTAGATTGGCAAAAGTCCATATCATTGCTTACTTGATGTTGCATAAGCTACCACATAAGCAATATGTGGCTTAAAAATAGAGGGAAAATTCTCGCTTCTTTATTTTCTTTATCTATTTAATAATAAATAAATAAATTATAATCCAATCTAATTAGAATAAAACTCAATTAAAATAATAAAAATAAAATTTTCCAAGCCACGTGTGTTACATGGTAACTTCGGTAGTGCCATATAAGGGATGATGTAGACTTATGTTAATCTCAATAACGGAATTGTGTTAGGTAGATAAAATTAAAAATATTTAAAAGTTAATATATGATTTTAAAAAAATAAAAATTTTAAATTAAAATAAAAAATAATAATTAATAGAGGATTTATTAAATTAAGTCAACGAAAATTGGCCCAAGCTTAAGGCCCTACTTCGTTCGGGAAAGATTGTGTGGGAAAGGTGAGAAAATTCTGCTGTACGGTTAGGTCTTGTTTAATTTAGCAATTAGAAAACAATTGATGGTTAATAATTAATATTTAATATTTCATAGATTTTTTTCCCTAGGTGAAAATAGCATATTTATTTTTCTATTTTTAGTTATGATTGAAATGAATCACTATTTTTTTTTGTTACATATGAAGAAAAAAAATTAACTAATCAATGTTGCAAAAGAGCAACACTCAATATGTCCCTTTCTAAAAAGGCATTCAGTCCAGACGGAGGAGAATCAAAAACAGTCGTTCCAATTGGCAAACGATGCCCAATTCCAGCCCAAAAGTCGGCCGAAATGAACCCCTACAATATTTCTTGAAATAAATCTCTCTTCTCATTCTTTTAAATTGAATTAAATTAACCCTTATATTTAAGATGAAATCAATTAGTCAAAATTTAATA